ACGGCAGGATATAGTATTCGAAGTTTGAGAGGGAGTTACAGATAGAAGAGGAAAAGGCAAGAGCTCCAAGAACACAGGTAACGACAACAACGCAGAAAAAGCAGGAATTGAAATGGGGCTAGCAGAATTGCTCGGAGGATTTATCCACCTTGTCGGAATCTACATTGGTATTAAGAGGACCCAGAGAACTTTTGGAAGTGGAAGGGATTTAAGGGAGCCCGGAAGGGGGTGAGAAAAATTTTAGACGGGCCACTACTACCATCACAATCACCATTTAGGGGCTACTACCAAGACCATCACCACCATCACCAGCGGAGAACAAAGGGACGCAGACAGAGACACCAACTCAAGCATTGGCAGGAACAGGGATGGAAGAGGCTGCAGTAGAGACATTGGCACTACCAGCTATAGCACAGACAGCACTTACGTACAGGGAGAGCAGTACAGACACACTGCCACCACTACTATAACAGGATTACATACTATAACAGGATTACATACTATAACAGGATTACATACTATAACAGGATTACATACTATAACAGGATTACATACTATAACAGGATTACATGCTATAACAGGATTACATGGCAACTGACACAGTAACTGACCTACTTCTATCACCATCGAGGAAGATAAAGAAATATGCGGAGGCAGCAGTACAAGCACCAGTACGTGAATATGGTATGACGGCGGAGGCCACCTCGGACAAAAATTGGCCAGCCTATGACGACCTGAGTGGATATAAACAATAAAACAGTGAGCTTGATAGTGGGTATAAGAGCAGAGATATGACTCCCATTAAAGTGAGACAAAATGGGCAAAGGAAGAAAAGGTCAAAGGGTACACTACAACAGGCTAATATCATTGAAAAGGGGGAAGGAAAGGAGATTCTAGGGGCCACGGAGTACACCGCAACTTACGGGAAGATAAGATCCGGAGAGTCAGGAGAGGAAGGTGGTATTCTTGGACGACAGTATGGGGAAGATGGCAGTATAGGAGCAGGTTGGAATGATGAGTCAGGGAATGGAGCATACAGGGTGTTGGGGTGCGATAATAGGTCGACTAGGTATGACTGCAGGATGACTGCGTCGGGGCAGTGTTTTCAGCTGAATGGTATATTGACATGTGAAAAGGAGGAATCGACCGATGACAGTGAAGGAAATGGGTACTTAAGTGGTTGGCATTTCCTACGTCTGTTCTCTTTCTCTTTTATCACTATCTTCTCTGGTAGCTAGCTCTGCGAATATATTCTTTTCGACTCCGAAGAGTCCATGCTGAAGATACATTTCTTCACAGGGCGCTCGGGAAGTTAGCCACAGTGTGGGACGGGAAGGTGACAGGGATGAGAGGAGCTTTGGAGACAAATAGGGAGGGCAAATCCCTAATTTTGTCAGACTCCCAGGCTGCAATTGCGGCAGTCGTGAAAGCGGGGAAGAGAGGAAAAGCGAGGACTGGAGGCCTGGAGAGGGTAGTCGAGAAAATCCGGGAGAGAAAAGAGAGGCCCGGAGAGAATGCGGTGTAACTTTGGGATTTAAGGGAATGAAGCTGCAGACAGGATGGCCAAAAGGGGGAACGAAATTCTCCGTAAAACGCCCATGCATAACCGTTGCAATTGGTGGTACCGCTACTTTGTCCGAAAAGAGAAAGACTTGTTCAAGCTGGACAAGGATCAATTCTGCCAATCTGCATTTGGGACACACTTGGCGCAATTGACATAACAAGGGATTTTTCTAAACCCAGTTCAATGTTGCCAATCAGTCTCTTGGGTTTGAGTTCATAAGCAGCGGACAAAGTATTCTAAGTACGTCAATAAGGAACTCAGGAGACACTTTGAGGCGTTGTTATTGATGTTCTTCGAATACCTTGCCACGTAGGGGATCGTGGATGTGATATGCATCAAGGGTTACCCTGTGGAAGGGGATGAGGGGGCGGACAGGAAGGCGAAGGGGGTGGCGTGGGTAGGCAGGAGGATGCTGCGACCTGACGTTATCACACCGGCAGGCATCCGACAGGCCTTCCCCATGGGACGACCCTCCAGGCAGACTAAGTGGAGCAGGGAGGCTCTGCGGGGGTTGACGTACATAGTTACTGACCGCGGACCGCAGCGCTGGTGGCTGCATAAAGTGGGCAGGGTGGAAGATCCGCTGTGCGGATTGTGCGAGGAGGTGGTAGCACAGAATGCCGTACACCTGTTGAGGTGTCCTGGGATAGCGGATGGTAAAGGGCGGGAGTGGGAGCAGATATGGGAGGATCCGGAGTGGTGTGAGAAGCTGGCGGGGGCAGTCAGGGGGTGATTTCATATGTTATCGGTTGGGGGTTGTAGGACGTGGCTATGGTGATTAGATTTGGGGGGTATCTGGTCGTGTACGTAGATACGGGGCAGGGAGCGGCCCAGTGGTTGGATAATCCCATCAGGCTTAACCTGGGGATGCGCTGCCTCGCCATAAGCGAGATGCTTCAATGCGAGTACTGATTTACCAAAAAAAAAAAAAAAAAAAAGGGTTACCCTGAAATAGTCCGACCAACAGCGTGCATATCTAGCATTGGTATTAGAGTGATGTCAGTTGCATGACGTTGATTTCGGGCTTTGGATCAGAAGCTTTCGCCAAAGGTGTACATGGAAATAGGACAGCCCTGTACCTAAAGTTATTAATACATCACTTGAACCTTAATGCACGTAGGTAACGTCAAGTAGTTCCGTGATATGTAGTTGCCCTCTTAAGTTCTTAAGAGAGATGCCTACTTATGGTCCTTCTTGTCTTAGGAGTACTTGGGTGGCACGATGTCAAGTGCACAAAATCTAGTCCGCCAGACTAAACACAAAGACCACAACCACTGGTACCACAACCAGTATGAGTCTGCCACAAGCTTCCATGCTGCCTGTGTGCTTTAGAGGTATACTTCTTTATCTATCTACAAGCAAACCAATGCTAAGAGAACCACCTTCAAACATCACCGAGCAATCCCGGCCCTCAAATTTTCAACGCCACGTGCCTCAGGTCGGGCCCGTGAGCCTGGCCCCTTCTAGTGTGTGAGATCCATGTCCTACTGTACAAGATGTCTGACAGCCAATGGAGATAGTAAGCATATTCGGCGTCGTCGTAACTACCCCTTCATGCCTGAAATAGTGGACTGACGTGTTAATCAAAAGTATTACTCCCGTCAGCTCTCTCAAGAATAGTACGCGTTGCGACAAGTATCTTCCATAGGACTAGATAACTACTTTGCGAGCCTCGTAGCGCCAATTGATGAATGCTCTGGTTGAAGCGGGAGTGGCAGAAGAGATCCTGGAGGAGGTGATCAAGCCGGACGCGGTTCTGCGCTGGATCACGCCCTCAGTGGGGCAGCGGGTACAACATGAGGTACGAGTAGACGTGCTAGAGAGGAAGCGAGTAAACGCATGGTCGGACGGATCGCGACAAGAGGAGGTCTCCGCAGCAGCAGCAGTAGCGAGTAAGGCGGCAGAAGGGTGGGAAGTGGGGGAGTATTTAGGGTTGTGATGGACGCGGAGATGCTGGGAGTGGTGAGGGCGTGGCAGGCGGGTCGGACAGTGGTGACACTGGATAGCCAGGGAGCGATCGGTCGTTTGCGGAACCTCCAGTTTGAGCAGCCAGGAAGGCGAAGGAGGCGGCATGGGTGGGCAGGAGGATGTCACGACCTGATATCGTTACACCGGCGGGCATCCGACAGGCCTTCCTCATGGGACAACCCTCTAAACAAGCGAAGTGGAACCGGGAGAATATATGGTCATGGACCGCGGACCGCAGCGATTGTGGCTACACAGGGTGGGCAGGACGGACGACCCGACGTGTGGGTTGTGTGAAGTAGGGGTGGCGCAGAGCGCAGCGCACCTGTTGAGTTGTCCGGGGATAGCAGATGGAAAGGGGTGGGGGTGGGAGCAGATGTGGGAAGACCCAGAGTGGTGTGAGAAATTGGCGAGGCGGTGAGGGGGTGATTGTGGAGTTCCTTTTATAGTCTTAGTCGGGGGGTATCTGGTCATGTACGTAGATAGATACGGGGCAGGGAGCGGCCCGGTGGGCGCTGCCTCGTCATAAGCGAGAAGCTTCAATACGAGTACTGATTTACCAAAAAAAAAAAAGCACAAATGTCAGCGACAAATGCCTTGGCACTCATGAGGCCCTAAGGACTGAGTGAGGGCAGATCCAGAGTCACGTACTCACCTGAGCTCGGCTTTAGCTCCCTCTCCAACCTAGACTCATCGGCAAGCGACGGCATACAGAGGCAATGGCATTTTACCCGAACGGCCAACCAGGTCCAAGGATACCAGCAACTATAAGTCAGAGCATAATGCTCTGCTACAACAAGATGCTGTAGTGTAAGTTTTAGACCCTGTGAGGATAATGGTTCGAACCCATCTAGCGGCATACTCTTCTTTTTGCAGGTTTCAGGGTCACATGTGTTTTACTCTAATACCTGCATCTCTTTAGTCTCGGCTCCAAGACTAGATTGTTTGCCTCTAGAGCCTGGTGTATGCTGCATCATAGCCAATGGAATCTTCATGACAAAACTTGAGGCGCAGCAATTGGCTTCCGAGTAACTTACGGGAGAGAACTAGCTAATTATCTGTTTGAGACACCTTTTGGGGGGAGAGTAAATTGCAGAAGAATGGTTTACAATTACTCCACTCAAGTGAGGCGCCTATTGCAAATACCAGGAAAACACAACTGGCCTATACTACCTAATGGATACTCATCATATTGTCCCGTTTACCTATGTGTTCAACGCAAGTTGCAAGAAGTCAACCAAGGATCCAATGCAGCGGCTGAAGGTTGCAAGCTAGCCTACGATGTTTTTCACCTATTACGCAGTTCTCGCCTATTCCTTTGCGTGCTAAGTAATGTCGAGTCATCATCCCTTCGGCAAACTTCGGTAGGTGTGACGCTGCGGCCAAAGCACCTCACGCCAACCAACGTCACAGGAGTCACCTTCTACCGCAACAGTCGAAGATTAGAGCTTAACCTTCAGTTTCAACAGAAGCTGCTGTGGTGTAGTGGTCAACACACACAGGTTCAAGCCCTGTGAGGACGATGGTTCGAAACCATCCAGCGGCATACATTGCTTTTTTATTGCAAATTACTAGTTTTGCGATCACATTTTTTGTTATATGTTTGTACGCTAACATCTCATAGTTGCATGACAGGTATCCCTGGCACTTGATATGTTACTTTACTGTCAGCATTGTGTTCCTTCAAAACTGGGTCAAAACACGTTCATTATATATTTACTTAAATTAAGCTACGAGAAATTCGAGACAAACTCATTATGCAAATCGAGCTGTTGAGGCAATAACAATGGACATTTCTATAACAGCTTTGAAGCTGGCCCTAAAAAGTGTTGCTTTTTTTACAAATCCCTTGGACGAAAGGACTATAAGTATGTAGCAAAATTTCCATAGCTGTAGTTGCTCTCTCGCTAACGCCAGCTTGCAGGAAGTCTTGACTGGGCCTTTCCGACGACGTCTTTATGTCACGGTATCTTTATACAGCTAGTAGTGGTTATCAAACCCCCCACTTGTTACCCAAAAGACCTGCCTTAAGATTAGCCCAAGAACGGAAAATTCATTCCTGCACAGGAAGGCCTGGTTCTCTCCGGTTCTCTCTTTGACAAGAAGGAGGTAGGGCAAAAGTTGAGGTTCAAGCTGCTGTGTGGAATTGTGTAGAGCCGTAATAGTAAGGCTAGTATGATGCAGGCCTCAATCCTCTATGTTTTTTTGTAGGGTGGGTAAATCAGTACTCGTATTGAAACTTCTCGCTTATGACGAGGCAGCGCATCCCTCCAGGTTAAGCCTGACGGGATTATCCATCTACCAGGCCGCTCCCTGCCCTGTATCTACGTACATGACCAGATACCCCCCAGTGAAAACTATTCGCACTCCCCAGCGAGAAAAAGGAGTGAAAAAGGACTACAGGAAAATCACCCCTGGCATTACCTCCCTACTGCCTCCGCCAGCTTGTCACACCACTCCGGAACCTTCTACACCTGTCCCAACTCCGCCCCTTCCCATCTGCCAACCCGGGGCTGCCCACCAAATGTGCCGCATTCTGTGCTATCCCTCCCCATAGTAGAGTCTACACCACGGGTCCACGCGACAACACCGTGCAGGACGAGCCCACTTGGTCGATCTCAACAACCAGAGGGTTTCCGTCGTCGGGGAAAACAGCAATTCACAGAGCGGAACGAGCCAAGCAAGAATACCTAATTTTCTTGCTCATTCAAAGCGAGCTACACAATCCCCCAGAGGGTCAAGTTTTGCCACAACTCGATCTGATTTTGGACGATTTTTCCAACGTTGCAACCGTATTCACTGGTGATTGGTGGATACAACAGCACACTTGGAGGCTCCGGCTACAGTTTAGAGCAGCGCGTTGCAACCCCAATAGCGGCGCAAGACCTTGGGTCCACCTTCGAAGTGGGAAGTCAGAATTCTTCGGGGAATTTAATCAGACTTTTCAGGGATGCCACAAAATCGCAAGGGAAAAGGAAAGGGCGCCAAACGCACCAAAGCAATGGCTGTCCCCAACCTAGACAACAAACCGAGGTACGAAACTCCGGATTCATGTCAACTACTGACACCCAAAGATATACCGAGGGTACAGTTGCCAGTTATTACGGAGAAGCGGAATACTGCCGAGCAAAGGGAGCTCGAGCAACAGGAGAGGGAGGCAGAGGCTCGTGCGCGGGAAGAAGACTCGGATGATGATGATAGGATAAACAAGTTTGCACAAATATCCTTGGAAGAGTGGATGAAGGTGGGGTGGTTTTTGTTACAACATACTATCGGCTTTTTAAACATTACGGACTATAAAGCAGATATTGATATAGTTTCAAAAATCCTGGAGGAAGGAAAGGAAAAGAAGCAGCTGGCCGATACATTCAATGAGACCTTGGATGAACTGGAGATTTATCGAGGTCAGGAGAATGAGGATGAGGACAGACTAGAAGAAATCGCCGGTCTTAAGAAAGAGGTTCAAGGTCTGTTGCATAAGTTGGGTGCATCCAATCTTAACAAGGACCTATCGATAAGACGGCAGGAGATAGAGATGAAAGAGCAGGAGGAGGCTTATAGGAAGACGATTGAGAAGTTAGAGAAGGAGGTTCAGGAGTTGAGACTACAAAAGGGGAAGTTGGTTGAGCAGGATGAGAAGATAGGAGACCAATTACAGATTTGTGAGAGAGACTGGAAGGAGTGGGCAGAGAAAGAGGTAGAGGAGAGGACAAAGAAGATACTGGTTTCTCAGCAGAAGAAATGGCAGGCAAAGGGTAAGGCACTCCTGGTTGAGACAGTATCAGTTTGCAACCCAGTCAGACCAGGTACCGGTAGTAGTGGAGGCAGAAAAGATACTGACGGAGGAGGAGATTGAGAAGAGAGGGGCAAAGGATAGGGAGGATGTTGTGATGGCAGATAGGTCAGATTTATACGAGGACCTATCTGGGTATGAGGATGAGGACGAGGCCCCGGTAGTAGCACCCCCAACTACCAAAAAACAGGCTGCAACACGTTCGGCAGTAAGAGCTGGTAAAAATTCCCGACTAGTCAAATTACCCCCACCGACCATATTGCCTGGTGACAATAGATCAAAGGCAATTGTGATTCATGGGGTCCCTTGCCAGAGACCCATGGCAGATATTACAGAGGAGATAGGAATGAGAGGGATTATGGGAGCACATTGGCTCTTGGGAGGTAACCGGAGATTGGGCAAAGCCACCAGCTCCGTTGTGGTATTATTCGACAGGAAGTTGGCCGTGGGGAGCCACCTGAAGTTGAGGGGACGTTGGCTCCCAATTGAGGCTTATGACTTTGAGAGAGGAAGGAAGAGGGTGGATTTGCATGGTGACCGGTAATGGATTTCTTTGTGATGGCTTTTATCATGCGTCCTTTACCTTGTTTAGCATTTCGCACCCCTACACAGCTTTTACAGAGGGTGGGTCTTTCACAGTGTTAGTAGTAGTCTACGGGGGTCGACCGCTCCCAATGAAGGTTCCGTCAAAGGTTCCAGGCCGTCTCATAGCCTTAGGCTCCATAGACGTATAGACTCCAAAAAAAAAAAAAAAAACACCACGGGTCCTCCGCTCTGCCCACCTTGTGTAGCCACCAGCGCTGCGGTTCGCGATCAGTGACCACGTATGTCAGCCCCCGCAGCGCCTCTCGGTTCCACTTCGCCTGATTGGAGAGCCGTCCCATGGGGAAAGCCTGTCGGATGCCTGCCGGTATGATAACGTCAGGTCGTAGCATCCTCTTCCCCACCCAAGCAGCCTCCTTCGCATTCCTGTCCGCCCTCTCGTTGCCTTCCACTCCGTCATGCCCCTTCACCCACATCACCGTCCTCCGCGCTGTTGCCATCTCTACTGCCGCCTCCTCCTCAATCCACGAGCGCGGTTGCTCAAAGCGCGGATTCCCCAGGCGGCTAATTGCCCCTGGCTATCCAGCGCTGCCACCTTCCGGCTCGCCTGCCACGCCCTCACCACCCCCAGCATCTCTGCGTCCATCACTGTGGCCATGCTCCCGAGATATTCACCAACTCCCAGCCCTCCGCCGCCTCACCCCCTACTGCTGCTGCCGCCGCTACCTCCTCCTGTCTTGAACCATCCGACCACGCATTCACCCATTTACTCTCCAGCGCCTCTACTCGTACCTCTCGTTGTGTCCCTGCCGGAGGTGTGACCCACCGTAAGACAGCGTCCGGCCCGACCACCTCCTTGAGGATTTCCTCTGCCACTCCCCGCAACTCTGGTAACCCTCTCCCATACACCGACCCAGTCCACCGGATCCTCTTGGAGTACATCCACGCATTCAGATCTGGGATGCCGGTTATATCCTCGATCTTCCCTCGCGCGCTCCCCCTCCACCCCCCACATACCCATCTATTCCACTCCGCACTAAGTCTCTCCATAACCTCTGAAGGCTCCGTATGGAGTTCCGCCCCGAACGTCAGGATCGGGAGCAGCTGTCCGCACACAATCTGTTTCTTCGCCTCCGAGGCAGCCTAGAGGCGCCGCACTAGCTCCCATGCTGCCTTCCCCTTCTCCTGTCCCACTCCACGCCGTATTCTCTTGCAATTCTCTATGTTCTTAGACACTCATGGTTGAGTTACCAGGCTGAGGATGATTGAAGCTAAGGTCCGGTTTTAATTTATTTACTTACTTTGTTTATGCAATCAGTCAACCTCTATTCAAGAATCCGTGTTGTTTGTTGAAGAGTGATACGTGGGCCATGACTTTTGCAGGCTTAGAGGTAAACATCTCTCCAATCTTCGCCTCTTGCACTTAACTTTCACTAGGGACTGGCTTTTTAAGAAGCTACATGAGCTTTGAATCAGCTATTTTGATTCATGGGAAAGGTGAAGAAAGGTGAATAGAATATCCCAAAACCATTCTATATTGTGGGCGAAGTTGCGCAAAAATCATCAGCTCGAGGATTCTAGGCCACAGCCATTCTCACATCATCATTCACAGCAATTTCGGGCTGATTCGGAGCCCAACAAGGCCTGCTATCATGTGGATGCTGGACAATTATCATCCACGAAGGAAAAATACTAGTGCTAGGGCACACTGAAAGTCCCCAACATCTCTCAATTGCAGGGACACAGCTCTATGATATCCCCAGTCCGCACCAGCTGGAAAGGCTTAGCTGGGGCAGCCGACCTGAGCACCAGTAGGCCTCCCTACAACACGAGCCCTACGCCTCGCTTGAGTCATAGTCCTGGGTAAACCTAGGAATGGCGCTAGCATGAGTCAAACGCTCTACGTAGTACAACGGCTAGCTGGTGATATAGGGAGGGTTAAGATCTAATTTCAATAATAGCTGCTGTGGTGTGGTAACATGCCGAGGCTCAGGCCCTAGGAGAGTGTACAGTTCAATTCTGTCCAGCAGCGTTCCCTACTTATTGTTTTTTTCAGATTCTGCATATGCTCCTGATTGCTTTCGCAAGTGCTGGTTCTTGAGATGGACGTTGACAATAATCTTCTTTAATTCTTTTTCTAAATTTTCTAAGTCTTTTTATTATAATCTGATTTCTTCTTGAGGTTATGTACCGAACAAAGCCATTCGCTA